TTAAAAAAAAAAAATATTATTATATAAATAATACATTTTTCTTTTTCGAGTCGAATTTTTATATTAGTAAATTCAGTAGAATCCTTTATTTATCTTATTTATATTTTATGAATTAATGAACAATTAATTAATTTATCAACCTTAAAGATATAATAATAATAATAGAATGACGCGTACAATAACATTATTATTACTGGTAATAATAATATTTTTAATAAAGCATAGTAATGGTTTAATAATCTCAAATAATAATGACACCGGCAGGCCCGGTGAAGGAAAAAAAGATAGCATACAATCAAAAGATCCAATAGGCAGTGGAATATTATACGTAGGGGGAATAGTAACGTCATTCGCAAATGTAGTGGGATGTTGTATAATAATCATAATAACTTTTAATAAATGGAAAAAACGTAAACCAGAAAAATTATCACCCTCACAAAGATTCCCACTTTATATGTCAATAATGGACTTATTAATCGCGCTTACAACGATACCAAATTTATTTTATCCAATGCAAAATGATAAATTATTAAATTCTGGTGGTTTATGTGAAGGAATTGGATTTAGTATATCATTATTCATTGTAATGAATATGTCATTAATGGCAGTTATCGCAGTGGTTACTTATTTACGTGTATGTATGAGACGTGTTGTAAGTTTAGGAAATTATGATTGGATATTAGGAGCAATCATATTAGTACCTAGTTCATTAATTAGTATATTAACGATTGTGACTTATGGATATGGAGAAGACAATTATTGGTATGTACTAATAAATATAAATACTTTTTTACTTAACTTTAATAATAATAATAATAATAATATCCTTTTTTTTTTTTAGGTGTTTTATGAATAGAATAGATTATCAAAATGGTAGTAAAGTTTCAATGATAACATTGATAATATTTGCTTATATAGTAATAATAATAACTACATTCTGTTATTTGAAAGTAATAAAAAGAATTCATGGTGTAGAAACTATGCTTACTTCTCCTGTGTTTAAATCCATTCGAAAAAGGCGTAATATATCAACTTCGCGGGATATTTCAAGACGTAAATTTTCAACTGCATCATCATTACGATCTTGTCCATCAATGTTATCATCCAAATCTTCTCATACATCACAAAATACTTCGGATGGATTAGAATTGAGACCACCTAGTTTCTTCATGAACACTTTAAGTCAATATCGAAACTCTTCAACAAACCCAAATATACCTACAATCGAACAATTAAAAATAGCTTCAAATATAACAAGAGCAACACGTAAAATGGCCTCTTACATATTTCTACAATTAATGCAATACACTCCTTTTATAATATATTGCCTATGTTTTTTATTTGATATAATTCAATCTTGGGTATATATATTATTTATTGTATTAATTAATTTAGGTGGTGTTGCTAAAAGTCTTGCTTTTTTAAGAAATGAAATATTTTTTAAAAAAAATGATTCAAATTATAGTGGGAATAGTAGTGGTACAACAAGACATAGTAGAAATAGTTCCAATAATTCTATAACTTCCCCATCAAAATCTTATCCTTCAAAGAAAAGTCACCGATTAAATCCTTCATTAAGTTCAACAATTTCAAATTATTCATCTCATTCTAATAATAATAATAATAATAATAACAATAATATAGGAATGATGAGTACAATAGTTGAAAATGATTTACCTAGTCTACCAAGTTCTCCTACTCGTGCCAATACTGATTTAACTTTGGTTGATAAGAATGATTCATATATTACTAAAGATAGAAATACGTCAATTTATAAGAATAATGATGTTAACAATGATGATAATATCATTGAAGTGGTAGATGATGATTTAGAAGGAAGTGAAAGTAGTGAATATGAATGGTGTGAAGATGATATGATTGATATTGATTTTTTAGTACCATTCATATTTTCTGATCAAAGTATTATTACAACTCCTCCTCCTGCTTTAACATTTAGTTCAGAAACACGAAAAATTTTCAATAGGAACCTTCGTGAATCCTCCTTATTAAATATTAATACTCCTTCTAATATTGAATCTTCTACCTTTAATAATAGTTATTGTAATTCTTTTATTTCTTATAATGAGAGCATACCTGATCCTTATTTTCATAATAATGGTGATAATTCTTCAATCTCTTAATTTTAAGTGTAATTTACATCATACATTTATGAAAAAAATATTCACTTTTTTTAATCTGTAAAAATTTGTATAATTGTCGTGTTCAATTATAATTAGTAATATCGAAACTTTTTTACTTCTTGAGAAAAAAAAACAAAAAAAAAAAAATTACGAAAAAAAAAACAAAAAAAAAATAAAATAAAAATAAAATAAAAATAAAAATAAATAAATAAATCAATAATAATCAAAACATTTAAAACATTTAATTTATACAGCATATAAACAACTTACCAAAAGGTAAATCCAAAAATACATTAAATTTTCAGTATCAAGTCCTTTATTTCCCGTTATCCATTCAGGACAAAAAGTTATCCAACATCCATATATTTCGCATGTACATAAAATCATTTGCCAATAATGTCTTGTAGAATGATTTATTATAATTAAATATATTATATATAATGATAATGGTCCACAAAATATGAATGTAGGAATTTCTACTGAAAGTATTGTTGGATCCGAATGTAACCATCTTGAATCTGCTTTACCGTATTCTTGCCCTAAAAAATTTTTATTTTTTAAAAAAGTAATTAATTTAATTTTATTTTTATAAATATATTAAATATATATATATATATACAGTATATACAGTATATATATATATTTTCTTATATAAAAAAGACAAGTATTATTAGTATCATACATAATTCAGCCAAAATTCCTTTACTTTCTTCTACAGTACTAATTAAACTTAATATTACAAATGAACCTTCTAAAATTAAATGAATTAATGCGTCCCAAATTAACCATATAAATACAAATCTTTCAAATTTCGTTATTTTTTTTTCTGTTGAAGGAAATATAATTGATGTTATAATATAAGAAATTGTAAATAATATTATTACAATAATAAACGAATTTATTATCCGTTGCAATTCTTCTGTAAACAATGATGACATTTGGTATACGTATGATATGTGTATGATATGTTTATAAAGTAAATACGAAAAAAAAAGATTTTTTTTTTTTTTTTTTGTTCATATTAAATCTTGTGTGACTAAATAACTATTGGCTGAAAATTCTGGAATAACATAATTGGTCATTAACGCAAAGATACAGAAAATTAAAATTGAGTCAAAATCCGGACAAATCATTATACCGACAAGTTGATTATCCTGAATAAAATTATCACACATTTATATTAAATATTGCAACAAATTATTTTATTAGAACAAAGATCTACAAATTGTCGATATAATGACTTGTCAGGATTTGGATTGTCGAGAGATTGTCGATATTTTGTTGTCGATCTTGTGAGTGTCAAGATTTTGATCGGATACCATCTTGGTCATCACACTAGAGTTAGAATACTTTCAATAAAATCATTGGTAAAAACTTCGGATTCATCACTTGAAATGGATTTGAATCACTCATTTTAATTATTTTTAATTATAAAAGAAAAAGAAAGGAAGAAGTCAGCCCTCGATATAACGAACCCGGTTTTCACCTCAAATTCGCCGTAAGATTATAGAGAAGAATTTATAGAATTTAATTATTGGCTGGTTCGTTATAACAAGAGTTAAATGTCACGTGTTGGGAAAGGGACATCACATGTCAGCCGAACATAGTAATTAGTAAATTAATATCCGCTGAGGAATAAATATAGTCTAACTATATATATAACAGTCTAAAGGATTATACACGTGATTATGCGAAAAATAATGTATGCACGGGATGCATGCATATCAGTAGTGCATCTATTATTTAAAATAAATTTAATAAATTTTTAACAAGCATGGGCGCATTATAAGCATGATGCGTAAAAAATACCCATTTATTATTTTTTAATTAAATAAAAAAAAAAAAATAACAATTATCTGCTAATTTTAAAATTTTATGAAAATGATAATTTTTAATTAGAGGGAGTCGTCGTCATATCTTTTGGTGGTTGTGATACCGGAGGCGGACAGCATAAATTCTGAGTACAAGAGGAATCCAAGTTACAACGAAGCAAGCAAGCAGTTTCGTGATTATCCTACAAATTTTCGCAAATAAATATATGTATAAAGGTAAAAAATTTTATAAAATAATCGATAAATTAAATTACTTACAACTTCATTTGCGACAAGTTCCACTTCTCCTTTTGTTGAATTTTCAACCACCATAATTACTTCACCACTATCATTTTTATTTAATCCAATCTTTACATATTCTGGTTGTATTGTTATTGAATGAACTCCGTGAACATGAAGTATTTTTCTTATATCGGCAGCTATCTCCATATAATTAGCTGATGGTGCTAGCAAAATGTGCACTGAACATATTCGCTTCGTATCAGAAAGTTGCCAAATATGCAGTTCATGAACGGATAATACTCCATATAACTTCAAGCAAGATGGGAAAATAGCGGATTTAGATCATCAAATCATTAAAACATCTTAAAGAAATTCTTACAACAAACCTCTTTAATTCTTGATCGTACATCATCAATCGGTAACCCTGAGGGAACCTTTTGTAAGAGAATAAATGATGCGCTCTTTACTATAAAATAAATAATGGTTAGATTATCAATATGTAATAAAATCGTGTATAAAATAATAATTACCTAAAGGAATAGCGGACATGAGAATAATAATTGTAAGTATTAAACTGTATAACAAAATAAGGCATATGAGATTATTACTATTAATAATAAGAATTTTAACATGTTATTATTACCTAGTAAGAGGATCTATATAAAATCTCCATGAGAAATGTGTGAGGTAAATAAATAAACCAGAGCAAACGACCCCAATATTACCTAGAGCATCACCCAACACATGAATGAAAACTCCACGCATATTGAGATTTTTATCTTTTTTATGAGACTGATTATCGCGATGATTTTGATTATCTTCAGTCTCAGAAATTTTTTGATTGTTATTTGTATCAGATTCTTCTTCTTTAATTGAAATGTTCTCATTATTTGATGAATTTGAATGATTTGAATTATCATTTATGATTTCTTTAAACTCCTGTGAATCTCGTGACTCTTGTGCAGCCTTGACTATAGATCGACGCGATGCAGCAGGATGTACAAGTATTTCATCTATGGGTACATCGACGTCAGCAGATTTCTTACCATGATCATGACTGTGACCATGACTATGTCCGTGACCATGTTCTGTAAAATCAACAATTTAACGTATGATACAAATAATAATATAATTTTCACATAAATTTTTAAATACTTACCATGAAATAATAATAATCCAACTATATTTGAAAGTAATCCTGCACAACCAACTCCAAGGATGACAACCGGATTTTTAATATCTACAAATAATAAGTTATGAATATAACAATTTAAATCTTTAAAATAATAAAAATAACCAACCTGGTGGATCAAAAAATCTTTCAATAGCTTGAATGAAAATACTAAGACATAAAGCCATTAAAAATACACCATTTATAAGAGCACCTAAAACTTCCGCTCGTTGCCAACCATATGAATATTTTGATGAAAATGTTGACCTAGAAGCAAGCTGATTATAATGAACAAAGACTTTATTGATAAAATTTTCATTTTATTGATAAGAAAAAAAAAAAAATTAATGAACCTTATACCTTTAAAGCATATAAAGCGACTACCAAACTAAATATATCATTTAACATATGAAATGAGTCAGCTATTATTGCTAAAGAATTGATCCAATAACCAAGAATAATTTCTGTTATAAAAAAACTAATATCAATTATAAGCAGTATGATTATACGAGTTTGTCGTGATAACTTCATTTTTTATTTCTAATTTTTTTTTTTATTATATTAATAAGTGTTATTTATATTAATGACTTTTTTTCAAAGTTTTTAAAGAAAAAAAAAAAGATAGCAGAATCGAGTGGTTTTTATAATTAATTCGCTAAAACCGTTATAACCCGTTATATTAATATATTTCACATGTAAACTCGTAACAAGATCTGCATCCAAGATCTGCATCAAAAGAATATATTAGTTGCAACTATTTTTAAAATTTCCCTTTTTTATAAATATAAAGAACTAAATGCGCTCATATATTTTTGGTAAAAACTAATATGGTTATTTTTTTGAATATAATAAATATTGAATCAACGCTCAATAACGCAATGGTACATATATGTATAAGGGAATTTATTTTTTTTTTAGTGATCAACGTTTAATTTCTTTTAATGAAAAAAAAAATTCCCACTCCATGCTACTCGATTTCCAATAACAGGATGGAAAAAAGAAACTGCCCTTGTTGATCCGGTTGATCCTAAACAGTATGAGACCTCGTGACATATCAATAGAAACATTATACCCAAAGAACGAAAGGTTCGTAAATTATCTTGAAATTTTTAGCCATTGAATTGGCTTATTTAGCATATATTTATTGTCACAATCATGCTATACATAGATGACTATGAGAAAAAAGATTCTTGAGCAACAAACAATTATTATGTACACACGACTTACATAATACTTGTAATTTATTTAAAAATAAAATGAATGATTAAAAATTAAATTTATTAATTTATGATATCAGTTAAACTGAATTCGCAAATAAAAAGTAAAGCTGAGTTGAATTACATTAATATCATGAATTATGAACTAAGATTAAAATAATATAAAAGATATAATAGAGAAAATTATAAATTAAAAGTGTTAATTAAGACCTTAATTATGCGATAAGTAACAGCGCAAATCTCCATATTGAGGAACAGTAGAAAAATGCATCAGGTTAAGGCCTGGATTGTGGCATAATTAACAACATTCGCAAGCTGAACATTGAGGAACAGGAGTAGCGAGTGCTACGACGGAAAAGAGGACAATAGTGAAAATGAGTGTAATGAGTTGATTCATTTTGTTTGATTAAAATGATGATATTGAAATTATTGATATTATTGATATTATTGATATTATTGAAATTATTGATATTTTGATTTTTTTTTTGAGTTTGAAAATTCAGGTAGAAATCGATGAAATTTATAACATTAGCCAGTCAAAAAATTACAAATTCTATTCCGCGTGGTAAATAGATCTTTTCTAAGTTGGGGTTTTTTTTTTTCAAAAAAAAAAAGAATAAAATTGCGTAAAAGAATTCGAAAATCTGATACTACGAAACTCAACTGACTTTTTTCAAAGACGGACTGAAAGAAATCCGCTCAAATTCTAATTCCGAGAATTGTCTATTCCCGAAAGAAACACCGACAAAAATGGGCAAAATTCTATCCGTTAGATCCTAATCACTATTCCGCATAAGTACATAGCCATTTCAAAATTTCAAAATTAAGGACTTTATAAATTCATTCATTTGAAAGGAGAATAAATCCGACTAAGTTCTCTTAAAGTTTTCTTTGGTGAATGCACATGATAATTATACAATCATGTGATAGGTCAGTTTCAACTTTGGAAATAAAAAGAACAATTCGCTATTTAAATTTTATTTATGCCCATTTCCACTATTTCATTTTTGAACATCACTATACATAAACTATTTTTACTTATATTAACTAATATGAACAAGAAAAAAACTAGATCATATCAGTAATTAAATAAATTAAACTAGGAAAACCGGACCGTTTAAGTCGGACGTTACTTTTTTGATATTTGTGTAATGACACATGGTACAACACTATAACGTCATTAATATATTTTTAGGGGCTATTTTAAAAAAGGAAATAAAGTGATGGGAACAAAGACAGGGAATAACACAACTTTATTTATCTTTTGCCAGGAACTGAATATGATACCTAGTATAAGTCATACAGTATATGAATGTATGACTTTACTAATAGAGAAAGAGCAAATTCAGCCAAATTTGAAAATTCAAAAGTCAGCTTTTTGTATTTTTTAAAAATTATAAATATTTAATAAACTTTACAAAATAAAAAAAAATGTTTATTCAAATCTAGTCACTAGATTATATATGGCTAGTAATTTCATATTTTTGTATAAATACATAATTCATAATTCTAAAAAGAAAATTTCTAAGTTTACACGGGGTGTTTGTACACGGGTCATATGTATAAATATAATTTTTAATAGACTAATTTTTTGTTTTTTAATTTGAAATTGAATGCTACCGACATTATACTCTTTTACTTTTATTCTTATTATATTACAGATAAATATATGTATTTTCACCTGCTCTGCAAGTTTACTTAAGGCATTAAAGGAGGTTTTGAATGCCGTTTTTAATCTACTAATATGACCCGTGTTTAAACACCCGTGTACAAATAGAAATTGCCTTCTAAAAATTAATTATCAGATTTTTTAAAAAAATATGATATGGCGCATTTATACTTATTAAACAAAAATTGTGTATTTTTAAATTTCAATAACTCATTAAAATTTTATGTTAAACTAAAAGAGTAAACTGATATAATTATAGTTTAAAGGATTTTCCAGCTGATTTCATAATGTTAGGACACTTAGCAAATTTTTGCCAAGGGTAGTTAGGTTATCAGATTGGATCTGGTTACATTACCAACAATCATATTATTGACAACTATTTTACCAACATTTATTACTTTACCAACAGGTACATTTTACCAACAATCATTTTACTAACAATCATTTTACTGACAAAATAATAATATAATTTAAGTATATAATAAATAAAGTAAAGTAATATAGAAATAGTTATTTATTTATTTTGTTTAAAATAAAACTTTTATTAGTTTATTATTTATAATTATATTCAATTAGTATTTGAAATACTCTAAAATGCTTGCAAAAAAAGCATATTATATAAACTAAATTAAGAAAATTATTAAAGCAATTCTAAGTACAACATATTATGAAGCTAAAATAAATTTTTTAAAAAATAAAATTGATAAAATTAAATATAAGATTCAAGTATCAAATATTCCATAGGATCATATAAAGTAAAATTTTATAGTTATTCGATAGTATTTTATATGCAATATCAAATATGAAATTTATTTTATTATTATTTATATACGTAATAAAATTATATTTATATACATTATCAGTTCTATAAGTTAATTAATGAAAGAAAGAAAATAAGTGATAAGATTATACTTTGTTAGACTATTAATAAACTATTTATACATGATCATTGAGGCCTTTTAAATATAAAATTTATCTGATAGAAAATGATTACATTATTCATGGCTTATTCAGCCAATCATTTTCCTGTAATAAGTAAAAATAATGTTATTCACTCTTTTCCATTGGATAATAATATAATATATTATATAAATATCATCGTATTTTACATTTTGTTATAAATTAATTAATTTTTTATTTTATATATTATGGTAAATTTTTTTATATTAAATGTATTTTAATTTTCATAATTGAAGTGAGTGAAATATTGATGGTAAAATAAGTATCAGTAAAATAAATGTCAGTAAAATGTACCTGTCAGTAAAATGATTGTTGGTAACACTAGTCAAAATTAATACTATCGGGTACCTATCGGGTACCTGATATGTGTACAATATATGTGATATATGTGTATGATATTTAACAATGCTACACATATCAGGTACCCGATATGTGTAGTAGAAATGTAGAAAAACGGTAACA